CTCTAAAATGAGCAAAATGTGTTAATAAGTTATAATCTTCTCTAATGAAAGCACAAAGAAAATACTAATAGATACTTCATTATTACAAGTCTGCATTTAGCTCTTAGATATGGAGACACAGATCATGTGTATTCACATATTCCCTATCAGCGTTGAGTTCCACAGTATGCAATCTATCTTTTCCATGTGTTACTTTTAAAGCTCCTATATTTGCTGATCACAAATTTAATTGCTTAATTAAATCACAATGAGCTTATGTTTCCCTCTAAAATGCTGATGGGTTGCACAAAAATGGTCAAAACCAAAATCAAAACATATCATGCATGAGTATCCTGAAATTGCAAGGAACTGTTCGAACTACTAAGGAACTAAAGGGAGAAGGCAGTATTTATGTGGAAAGATGTGCCTGTGAGAAAAGACAGCTTCAGGAAGGGATGGGATGTCTTCCCAGGCAGAGCAGCGAGGCAGAACTGACAAGCCCCCAGGGTGGCTCTAGACCAGCTATGGTGCCTTGCAATTAACAAAGATGCCTGGACTTTCCTATTTGAACAACACCTGTGATCCACATGACCCTTTTCCCTCCAGTGTGTCCAGGGGCCCAGAGCATTAGCTGCTCCTGGTCAGAGCTGCCCTGGAGGGCAATTCAGAGACACGGTGGCCCAGGAAAGCCAAGGGAATAGAACACCCTTGAACGTACAGCATGTGGCAGCTCTGGGCCAGCACAGAGGACATAAGCAGGAAATAGGGAAGCCACTGGAAGGACAGAGGAGGAAGCTGTTAAGAGAAGAGGGTAGGAATCTGAGGCCCAGGTAAACTGAAGAACAAATTTAGTGACTTCCACCCACCCATAATATGTGCTGTTTTTGCATAGCTGGGTACATGTTCTTGGGCTCAAATCAGCACAACACACTGTGCATGGCCATTTCCCCCATTTCCACAGACACAGAGAATTCCTCAGGACATTGCCAGGAACTGGGAGATGCCCTCTGGATCATTTCACCTGGCCTTTTAGCACTTTAGCACAAAGTCTGAAGTGGCACACACTGCCACCACTGGCAGTCTAGGGTGCCAGGTGAAGAGCTAATGATGGTACTGAGTTTTAAGGGGTGACAGTTTTAGGGCCAAAATTAGAAGGGCAAACAGAGGAGATCCCTGTGGAACAGCCTCAGAGAGAGAACTAGTTAATTCTTTGACTACTTCCTATTGGCATTATTCTGGGGCTAGATATCCTCAAGAAATGTCATACTTTCCTAAAAATATCATTTTAAGCTCCTGGCACCTTCTAAGAGTAATTCTCCAAGTGTGATTATAATCCTTATTTAAATGGAATATTCAATCACACAAGTTGGGAATTTCATTAGTATTACGTGGCAGAGTTGATTTTTTTCCCCTGGCATAATTATTGCTTTTCTCTTGCTCTGTTTATAAAATTTACCCCCTTTTATTTAAATCACATAAGAATGCAAATTGTACATAGCAGTTTGATGATCTTCTAACCAGATTTCTGGAAAAACGACTTGATTCTGAGAGCATAAATTAAATTCATCTTCCTTAGCAAGTATTATGATTTACTGAGATCTCCCGAGTGCCAACAGTGTGTTTAGCTTTTCAGAAAACATAAAGGAAAAGCCTGCCTTCCCTGTCAATCTAAAAAGGCAAAGGAACCAGTTGCAACTGGAAAACATTCACCCAAACAAAACCAAGCTGTCCATTAAAGAGGCCCCTCAGCCACTTCCCCCAGAGCTGGGCAGTGACAGGACGAGCCGGTGGAAGTGTGATTCTGCCATCCATGAGGTGGATGGAAAAAAGGATGATGGTTGACAAGCCACACGTCCACCCCCGCCCTACTCCCATGCAGTTCTTTGAGGGGAGGGGGACAAAAAGCTGCCGCCGCCTCTCACCACACTCCAGTGCCACCAACCCAAAGGCAGCTCACCACTCAGAGACGCTCAGACTGCAGAGAGGATGCCCAGGCCTCCAGACTTTTATTCTGGTTCAAAGAGAAAAGGTATAGATTCCTCACTCCTTCCCTCTCCCTCTTTTTAAAGGAGCTTCTAAGACATTCCCGTCTTAACATCCTAGACCTTCTGCAAGGGTCCTTAGAGGCTTCCCAGCCCAACCTCCTCATTCCACAGGGGAGGAAACTGAGGCTCACAGAAGTACATGACCAGCCGGAGAGCACATGGCTCATTCTTGGGGGAACCCAGACTAGAAGCCAGGACACCTGACCTCGCCAGTGCTCTTGTGCCTTTCCCCTCGGCGACGACCTTTCTTTCTCTCCCCTGGGGCAGGCAGCAGGAGGACGCGGCCCCCTGCACTTTGAGGGAAAAGATAACAACTAATGTGTAGAGTGCCTGGTGTTCTCTGGAGGGAGCTCTGGGGATGGTTCCTAATAATGGAAACCCAGCGGCGGACAAACAGGCAACAAGGGCGACAGGAATGCTAGCTCACCCCAAGGAAGCCTTTATGCCCCCCTCCTGTGCACACAGGAACAGATGGGTGAAGGCGCATCATGTGAATGTTGAGTGAGAACCACTCGCAGACACAGAACAATCCATTTTCTGATAGTGAACGATTAGAATCAACTCTCGAGTCCCAAATGGGAATCAGGAATCGCTCAGAAATAAGCCATTCAGTTGAGAGAAGCTGACAACAGCAGCAGAATGACAATGAGATGCAGAAGCTCCTCCCAGGATGACAAACGGGGACTGGGACGCTGCTGCAGCCAGGCAGCCCTGGGCCCCGCTGGACACAGAGGGTGCCAGGCCGGGCAGACTGTGACGGGAGAGTAGCCCTGCAACTCAGACATTCAGGATACATAACAAAACTATCACCCTTCTCTCTGATCAGCCCCTGGAGCCCGATTATCTAGTTTATGGGGAAATATTATTTTAAAAATCTACTCGGAAAATACTTTCTCTTATTGTAGCACTGTCACATCTACATTTTAAAGAATAGATTTAAGTGGCAATGTAGCCAAAGAAAACAACATTTTCCAGACTCCCTTGTGTCTAGGGATACACATGTGACCAAGATCTGGCCAACAGAGATAACCGAAATTACTGGGTAGAGTCTCTGGGATAACTCTTTAAAAAGCGGGATGACTTAGCTGGCAGGTACTTTTTGCCCTTCCCTTTTCCTTCTTCCCGCCCAGAACAAGGATGTGATGGCTGTGGTGGAGGCAGCCACGTTGTAACTCTGAGGCGAGCCCAAGGATGGAAGCCAAAAGCCGAGAATGGTGTAGAACAATTAAAGGAGCTTCTACACCAGACCTGCACTGCCTCCTCTGGAGGTTTCTTTTTTTTAATGTTAAAAGAAAACAAATCCCTACTTGTTTTTATTTTTGTCCATTATCTGTAGCCAAATGCATTTCCTAACTGAAACGCATACATACATACTTACTAAGAGGCCCTGACACTGAAGAATGAGGCAGGAACCACCAAATATTTAAAGTAAAATGGAAGAGCAATTAACAAGGTATTGATCCCAGCTGTACTAACAGAAATTCCAGCTCAGAGACTGCAATTAAAATAATGGAGAGGAAAACATCCCAAACCAAATTACCAGTTTTGATGACTAGAGAGGGGCTTTGTTATGACCCAGAGGACTGATTTGAGAGCTACAAATTGAGGAAAGGCTTCAGGCAAGTATTTTTGAAAAATAATTTCTTAAAGAAATGTAGCCTCTGGGCAAAACAGTGGAATGAAAATGGTGGCCCAGAGAGAGTGAGAGTTCAAGAGAGCTTTCTTTGATTTTAGGAATGCAAGAGCTTCAGGGAATGAGTGCAGTTCACTGGAGCATTATTCTCATTATTACTAATGGTTCTTAATAACTAAGGGGCAGTGCTGGGTCTCCAGTTGGCTGAAATTGACCAGAAATTGCTAGTTGCAGTTATACTAATAATGAAATACATTATAATTTGACACTAAATTACAATTCCAGATATACAGCTTTCTGCACTGTCTCTTATTGCAAAGGCAAACTAAGCATCAATAAATGGAATAATCCAATTAAGTGTCTTCCCATTTGGGAACTATTTGAATTGAGAGTTTAACAGGATAGTGAGATAGGGCAAAACAATTCGGTATTTACTGATTTTAAAAATCAGGGCTTTTTATTGTAAGACAATTATTTTTTGTTATTTTAAAATAAGTGCTCAATCTGAATGGCTTTGGTCATTTATGTAGTAAATTTAATTGCAATAAATTCTTTCTAATTTTGAGGCATAATTTCCCAAGAGTACATTTACCTGTACTTTAATATTAAATATAAGCACCTTTTTCATGCTCAGAATGGCTTATACACATATTCATATTCCTAATCATTTTTTTTTGCCTTTTTTACCACCCTTTTTTAGGCCGGGATTTCCAATTCCGGGAGGTTGGTTTGTTAAAATTGTTTTTTTTCTTTTTGGTTCCTTTTAGTTGGAAAGTTGTTGGCCAATTTCCTTATTTCCACCTTGGTTCGTTTTTGTTTTTACCCACTTCTCAGGATTTTGTCAGAGATAGATGGTCCTTCCACTGGAGAGAGAATGGTATCTGCCTGCAGATACAGAAATACATGGGGGGAGATTTGCCAAGAGATGAGCTGGGCAACCCCATTCACCTGGCGGCTGTGCGCTGAGCTTTCTGTTATCCTGTGGGTAGCAGGTACTTGATACATGTTTGCTCAGTGAATGAGCTGCCTCAGATTCTTCGGAGAAGGTGTTCTTCCTAGAAGCACCCACAAGCAGCTGGTTAAGCCTAGGCTACATCCTTCAGCCTGGATTTCTGTAGGGAAAGTGGTAGCGTATCTTGTCTTAAAATGAAGGTATGATTAAATTCTCCAGGAAAAGTCTCCGCTTCCAGATTGGGAACGTCCTCCTGTGTCACATTCTTTGTCAAGGGTGGCTTTGGTGATTCTTACCTACCATTAAAGCATGTACACGCCGAGGCCCTCTTTGGTACTGACATGTCGGGGATGGTTAGGACGATTCTAAAAGACACTTAAAAGATACTTACTGCTGGTGGAGGACAGGTGGCTGTAGTCAGACCTGAAACACAAGACCTCAGTGTTAGTAGGATTCTTTATCCAAATGCAAGCCAGAATTTTAAAGTCAGTTATAAGTAGCATTCAACTAGTGTTGAATGTCACAAATTAAAAACTATAGTGCTGAGGCTCATATTTTGCAAAATAAACATGTCTGAATTTGAAAGCGAAACTTCGAAGACACTGTAGGAATCTGGGGTCCTTCACACCAGCTCTGTGAATCCTGCTTACAGAGGGCAGGAGGTCATTTAAATTTGCTGGCAAATTTTTGAATGGTTGTTTATTTCCTGGGAAGAAGGCCCAAAGTTATCAACAGATTCACGGACTCACAGATTCACTTAAAATTTTTAAACCACTGCAAATGAGCACCCTTGGAATGTTCGCACCGCACCCTGGGGAAATGTTTTCTTGCCAACAGAAGATCCCAGTGAGGGCAGAGAGAACCTCAGCCGAGAAGGCTTTCACTTCCAAGGAAACATCAGGAAACACAAGGGTGCCATGACATTTTGGCTGACTTCAGGTCCACCTGAGAAGCAAGCCTGCAGGACATGAGGGTAACAGACTGTGGGCTGTGATAGGGAAAGGGGAAAGGCAGGTTTAGGGTTGGGGTGACATTATCCTCTCACTTTCTATGCTGAAAAGTTAGCTGCTGGCACTCGGCCTCTGTGAGAACAGGGATCCGGCCAAGGATCTGCTTAATCTCCACTAAGTTTCTGCCCTACTTATGTGGCTGTTAAGATTTCCCTCTCTGGCAACGAATTTGGTATGGAAGCTATTTAGTTTCTTCCCCCAGCGTCCCAAAGTCATTCTCAGTAGGAAATTAATCACTTAAGCACATAGGGATTTATTCTGCTGTGGTGGTTAGGAGATGTAGTTATGCAAATAAACTGCTTAATTATGTTTAATTTTATAGATATGCACGCCTTTTATCTCCTTGGTCTCCTGTTGCCTTTCTGGAATCATCCAATTTTCACTCCATTGAGTTTACCACATTAAAAAAGTATATAAAAAACTTTTAAAAAAATCACGAGAAACATGCCTCTTACTAGTTAAAATAACCTACGTTGCTCAAAATGATACACTGATTTATTGGTAGAGGAACAAAATGGAAGAAAAACAGCATGTGGTTTTCTCTTTTTCAAGTGAAATACTTTAGCAGTCATGGAATCACTGAATTTTAAAACTGGTAAGAATAACAACTACTAAAATTTGCATATCTCTTTATATATTATAAACTGTATTCACATATATCCAGTGCAATTTTTTTCATTTTATTGATTAGGAAACTGAAGTGAAACTATGTGTAAGGAGACCAGGAGGTGAGGAATGATGAGGGCTTATACTAAGTGTGGCAAGGAAGAGCCAGGAGGTAGAAGGGATTGTCTAGGACATGGTGACACACTGGCTAAGACGACAGTGAGTTAAGGCTTTGCACCGTCTTGAAACCAGGATTTGTAACCCCAGCACTGGTGCATTAAATTCTTTCCGGAATCAGTCAGGATATAAGCTTCAGAACAATACGTAGAAATGTAACGGTATATAAATGCAGTGAATGCTCAACAAACATCCACTGTGGTAGATCCAATGGGAAACCAACTCCATTACAATACAATCATCCTAAGATGATTAGACTTTAAAGAAATTTCATGACTATTCAAATATAACATACAGTAAGAATGTGTGCTATTGCTATTGCTTTTATTCTTAAAAATGTGTCAGTATTTTCAGCTAGGATTTTCCAAATACTCCCGAAGCAGACGGTATTCACATATGCATACATTTTAAAGATCTGCATACAGATGGATATGTATGTAGAATGAAATTTACATTTGAGACATAGTTGAAGAATCTTAAAGTGCACGGGTATTTTCATATTTTAGGACAGGTACTAGCGTAACTACTGCCCCTCCATACATTAATCTCTCCGTATCGCTCCTGACTAAAGGCACCATTGGGTCAGCCCTTCCAACTGGTCGGTCTTCTGACAGTCACACTCGTCCTGCTCCAGTTCCTTCCCCATACAGCAGCTAATCTTTGCAAAGCACAAATCTGATCATCTCTCTCTCTGGATGAAATTCAAGCTCATTAGTAAAACACAAACCTCTCTCTCTATGAGGGGTGGCCCAGGTCTGCAGCCCAACTTCCATCCCTGTCCACCGTCAAAAAGAAATCTCATAGACAAAAGTCACTTAAAGCCTCACATTGCTCTCCAGCCTCCGATCCTTGGTTTATGGGATGTGTACATGGTTGCCATGACGGAGATACAATTTTGAACTGCTCTTTTCACTTGATATCATCATAATATGCTGCTACATAGTTCCTGTAATTCTCATTTTAGATGAAGTGATGTACTATAATTTATTCAACCATTTCCCCTTTGTTGCCTTTATGATTGTTCCTGGTTGTCCACTTTTACAAAGCACTCTGCAATGAGGTATTTATGAATATAACTTTACATTTATTTTCCTTAGGAAAAGTATAAGTGGCAATAATGAGTTGAGGAATGAATACTTTTATAGCTCTTAAAATATATTCAAATAACCCCCAAAGATTATTTACTGAAAATACTGCCAGTGAAAGACAAACTGTAAAGCTTCAAACAATATTGTGCTTAATAAATAAGTTCAAACAATTCCAGAGAACAACCAGGCATCTGATTAGGGTTCTCTGGAGAAGTCTGTACTTCCCATCTTTTTTAGGGTGGGAAGGAACTGCAGTAGAATACCTGCCTTGAGATTTCGGCTTATTTGTCTCACATCATAAAAATTTACCCAGCTGGGTCTATATAAGACATGCAAACCTGCCAGAATGAAGCATGAAAGAGAATTTAGAATGAAAAATTTATGGACACATGATAGAGATGGGCAGAGTAATACAAGGATTATGTACTTGCACGCACATGACACATATAGAGACACATTTCCAAATATATTATTTACTATTTGTGCTAATAATCAACAGAAAGTTAGTTGTGATCCTTTGACCATATTTTAATTATAATTACACATTTAGGGATATATATATAGGGTTCTGTACTTAAGCTAGCCTACCACTGTCCAAAGCCTACTTGCCAATTGATATACAGTATATATAAAAAGAATACCTTCCTAAATTCTCTTTTCCAGGAAAATCATGGCTTAAGGATTGATCTTGGCATTTCTGTAAAATTGACCTTGACATTTCTATAAAAAATCAGCTCAGTGGCTCTTGGACTTCACTGATAACTCTCAGTGCACTGAATTAAATGCCCTGGTAATTTAGAGTTAACTAGCCCCACCTTGAACACAAAGATAACTGAGTACTAATAGATCATGTGGTCTTCTAAACAAGATTTCCTCTTTTACTTTTTTTTTTTAAACCTGTCTCATTTTAAAATGTATCCCACCCATTCTCTTTCATCCTCCTGTTTAAACTCTAGGCCAACGAATTATTTATTATCTCTTAAGTCACAGGGAAGTATCAGTTGGAGGTCACCCAAAGAATCAGGACAGGGTATGGCCCTACATGTTCAAAAGCTCAGTGACAGTGGACATGGAAGCAGAAGTCCATTAATGCCAGACCAAACCACTGTGTGAAAATAATCCATCACATTTGAAAGAGAGGCTTAGAGGCCAAATCTTGAGGACATCACTAATGAAACAGTCATTATAGAAAAGCAGTGGCTTTTATTTGGGTGTACAAGGAGCTGCCTGTCCCTCTATTAAGGGATTCTGTTTCTTAAGATAGTTTACTACCATCAGAGCTGACTTGCCAGTTTTTTTCTAACAGAAAGTACACAGAAGCACAAGGCTTGCTTTCAAGTGGATTTGGAAAATGGGAGCTTCAAAATGACATTGATTGCCACTGAAGAATACTAGTTTGCTTTTAGTCTTGACCTGTATTAGGTGGGTCAGACAGCAAACGCAGCATTTCAAGCCAAAGAAAATGTCTGAGCAGAGAACGAGAGTTAATTACAGATCAAACAGCTCCTTGAGAGGCAACTTTAGCAGGTGGGAAGCATGCTTCAATTCACGTCACTAACGAGCCCTGTGTCCTCCAAGTTTCCATTTCCTCATCTGTAAAATAATAATTATAATACAGAGGCACGCCCAGGTAGTCTCTTGGATGTTCTTAATAATGATCAAATTGCTTAAGGTATTTAAAAGCAACAGAGCATCTACTGTGATGAGTTTAAAGAACATGCGGTCCTGAGTTCACCATTTTTATTACATAAAACTCTAAGTTTATCATTTGGAGTGTTCTTCGCAACAATAATAATAGTGTGGTGCAAAATAATAATGTGCCGAGGGTTTACTTTGCCAAGCACTGTTCTAGGGGCTTTACATATATAAATTCATTTAATCCTCACAACAACTATGAGGTAGGTACTATTATCATCATCCCTATATTACAGAGGAGGAAAGTGAGGGCAGAGAGAGGTTAAGTCACTGGCTCAAGGTTCCACAATTCCTAAGAGTAGAAGCCGGAATTTGAATGCCAGCAGGCTGGCTCTTGTGTCAGTGGGCTCAGTCTGCCCACCTTAAGCCATGCCCTGAAATCCCTTGCTCCTATGTGTTGTTCACACCACCTAGCAACAGTCCCCCTTACCCCAAACCTTGGTGATCCCAACCACCCACCACTTCTCTGCCTGACTCTACCTAGGTAGTTGGAGCACTGCAGCAGGAAATTAGACAAGGAAGACTCACACCTCCATGAATGCCTAATCACTCATCTCAACTGGGCTCTCACTCAAAACTGCCCAAAACAGTTATTTCAAACCTCCGTGCTCTTCAGGTTGGGAAGGAGGGCTGCATTTCCATCATGGAATGGAGACCCCCACCTTCCCTTCCTTCGCTCTAGTTGTGGGGTGACAAACCCACCTCCTACCTAAACCCATCCATTCACCTGTGGTCTGAAGTCCATCTGCCTGCACTTTGTCAGAGAGCTGACATTACGGATTATCATATTTTCTCCTATCTCTTTATCCTTTTTACAGAATCCTTTCTATTGGCATTGAATGCCTAAATAGTATCCATTTTTAGGAAATCCTTCCTTCACTCCACTCTCCCCTCCAGCTACTGCCTCTCTCTGCTCCTCCCTTTTCCTGACTTAGGAATCTAGCTGTCTCCTCTTCCCCACCTTCTACTCTCTTCCAGAGCCACTCTAATCTGGCTCCTGCCTCCATCGCCCCACTGTCAAATGCTACTCTACCTTTCATTCATTATCTCCATTTAACCAAGGACACTTCACATTATTCCTCACCGTCATTAGTTCCTCAGTAGCACAGCTGAACTCTCTCCTTCCTTTCTCAAAGACTCAAGCCTCTCTTGGCTTCTATGATATCACCATTCTTCCTTCTTTTACTCCATGCCCACTCTTTCTCTGGCTCCTTTATCAGATCATCCTCGTTCATCTGGCATTTAAATATTGTAGTTTCTCAAGTCTGGTCCTAAAGAGCACCTGCTGCACAGGGTTGGCGAAGTATTCAAAGAGTCAATGAAAAACGTAAAAGCTCAGGACAGTACAAGGCACATACTAAATGCTAGGTGTTTGCTATTACCTTCAGTTGATTTAATCTCGCTCAGGGCTTCAATTGCCATTGTTAGGCAGATAGTTCTCAAATGCAATGTCATCATGTAGACCTCCTCTCTTGGGTTCCAGATACACCCAACTGCTGACTCAGATCTTTACTCAGATGTCTCACAAGACCTCAGACACGATGTGTTGAAAATAAAATGTCTCATACCCTGTCCAAACTTGGTTTGGAAGGGATCACAGGCTACTTTTAGAATCCAATTTAAAAAACAAACAAACAAAAAATAAGTTCTCTTCTCATGCAAATGCACAAAGCACACCATTTTGCATACAATTTGAAGCAATTCATGGACCCCCGAATTAAGGATCACTGCCTTAGCAGATGTGTCACTTGAGCTGAGTCTTGAAAGAAGAGTAGAGTTTCACCGGGTGGACAGGCATGCCAGGTGGAAAGGGCATAGCTGGCAAAGAGGACAGCTTGACAAAGGCAAGGAAACAGAAACATCTGTCAGACATGGGTAGGTGCAGGGTGCAAGGAAGGGCCTGCTGAGAGACAAGGCCAGAGAGAAGGAGGGACTTCGAAATGTTAGGGCTTATAAGCCACGTTAAAGTCTTTGCACTTTATAGATGACAGAGCCATAAAAGTTCCAAAGGGAGAGGCACACGATCAGATTTGCATTTAAAAAATAATATAATCATAACAAACATCAATTTTGTGTTTTCTACACAATCCTTATGCATAATCTCAACAGGTAGCACTTTATGAGAGCCAAGTAGGGTAAGGGGGGGAGGCAAGCTCCAGAAAACTAGGCTAGAAACAGCTTTTGTTGATAACTAAAATTCATAGGAATATATGGCAAACATAAGACTAATACATACACACTGAAACTATTTTATTTAAATGCATGGGCATGCCATTTTACCTTTATCTTTAACTTAAGGATGCTAGTGGTACAACAAAGAATTCTTTAAACAATTCTGTCCTGTTGCAACTACACATTTCAGAGGCAGAGAACAGAAACCCTGGTGTCAGCATGAGTGTGCCCCTCCCAGGAGCCCTGGCAGCTGTCACACTGATGTCCAGATCCTGGGGCAACATCACCTCCTGGGTCAGGACTTCCTCTCCCTAAGACAGAGCCCTTGGAAAAATATCCTGTAGGTGAGCTCAGCAAATTGAAAATGAATGGACTAGTGAATGCTTCATTCAACCCAGCTATAAATGAGCTGGTTAATTTTGCTTTGTTTCTTCTATTCACGGTCCAGCTAATTAGAGGCAGGAAAGAAAAAGAAAAAAAGCCAAGGATCTTCAATCAAAGTTGATCAATGCTACTTACGCGCTACGTGGGGAAAAGCAAGGGAGTTCATTATTCAGAATCAGGTTACTCCACCAGAATATAATTGGGTGCTGTATCGAACCACGAATGATCCTAAGTGTGGACAACAGGGAAAGCCCATTGCTAGGTAAGTGTTCTAGGAAGTAAAGTCGCAGATCTGGGCTAGGAGTGGTGGTGGAGCCTGAGGGGAAGGGCGGGGTTGAGAGGCAGGAGGGGCTGCACCTAAGGCTTCCGGGGGTCAGAATGAACTCTGAGTCCATTCTGGGGCCGCTTTCTCAGCCTGCCCTCAAAGGGTTGCCAAATCCTGAGATTAGTCTAAAACCTCCCCGACCTTCCAGGAATGAGGCTTTCTGTAGCCTGAGTAGCTCCCCCCTCCCCCCTCCAGGATTACTCCAGCTAGGAAAGGACACCCTTTCCTCCTGGGTCAATGCCCGCATCCTGGATGTGGCGCTGACTCTGCACAGGAAAGTCCTCTAGAGATAGGGGCTGGGTGGACGCCTTTACAATGGCTTCTAAAAGACATTCTATCTTTTGTCCCATGCAGGAAAACAGTGTTGTTGGGAGAGGACTAATTAGCCTCCAAAGGTTTGAGCTCATTGTTTGAGTCCGCTGAAGCGAAGAGGACATTTCTTTCAATGAGCGGGGCTAGATCACAGCCCTGTCCCCACCCCGCCGGTTCCGGCCGGGACAGGTGCACTCAGCGAGGAGGGAGTTGGGCGGGACTGCAGGAGACGAGGAGGGGGTCTCAGCAGCATAGAAAAAAGTCCCACAATAAAGCCGTAAACGAGAAATGCTACCCTCGTAGCCGACTTCTGAAAGACTTGTGGGTGCCGGGTGTCCCGCCCCGCTATTCCTTTCCCCATCTCCAGGGCCGCGCTCCAGGGGCTCCGGAGCTGCAAGAGAAAGTCCCCGCGGAAGGTCGACACAAGTGCAAAAGCATCCCCGTCTGTCTGACGATGGTGAGGGGACACTCGCTTGCCTGGCACCCCACGCCCCCCACGTGAGCGCGGAGGGCAAGAGGGCTGCGGTGGGACTGCACTGCGCCTCGGGTCCTTCCATTCTCGTCCCCGGGCGGGGCCCGCCCGGCTCTGCCCCCGGGGCCTGCCCCGGAGGGAGCGCGCCCAGCCCCGGCCCCTCGGGCTTCCCGGTGGGGTCCGGCCGGAGGAGCAGTCCCCGCGCCGCGTCCCGCCACAGCGGCTCCGGCTGTGCCGCGGGGATGAGGTGGGTCCCCGCCCCGGGAGGAGCCGCCGCACAACTCGCAGAGCACCCCGCCGCGGCCCGGCCCGGCGCGGCTCACCCTCCGGTCTCGGCGCCCGAGTCCACGCAGTCCTCCTCGTCGCCGCCGCCGCCAGCCTTCGGGTCCATGGCTCGCGGGCGCCGGCGCGACCCGGGGCGCGCTCCCTCCCGGCCGCCCAGCCCAGCCCAGCCCAGCCCACCCGAGCCGGGCGGGCTCCCTCCGAGCGTCTCGCGGCCCCGGAGCCGGCAAACAAGTCGGGCGCCCGCCGCGGAGCCCCTCGCCGCGCCCTCTCCCGGCCGCGCCTGGCGGGCACCAGCGCCGCCCGCCCCGCCCCTCGGCGCCCGGCGGCCCGGCGCGCGCCTGTGCCCGGGCTGCGCGCTCGCGTGCGCGCGCCTGTGTGTGGCGTGTGCGCGCTCGCGGGCGCGATGTGTGAGGTCGCGAGCGTCCGTGGCCGTGTGCTGCGTCCCGACGGCTGCGCGCGGCTGTGCGTGCGCTGAGCGCGCGGGGCTGTGGGTGCGCCCGGAGCCGCCCCGCGCCCTGCGCCCCCAGTCCCGGCACCCGGAGGCCCCCGGCTTGCCCCGAGCTTCCCCGGCCCCCGCACTGCCGGCAGCCCCGAGAAAACCCAGGGGCACCGTGAAGGCAGGGAGAGACCTGTTTCCCTTTGGGGACCAACACCCAACACCTGGGTGTTTTCGTATAGTTTCTTCAGAAATACCGACGCTGCATGCATTATCACCTTTCTCAGCACAGGTCTGAGTGGGGTTTCACCGCCCGGCTTGCCAGTTTACAATAGGTGTCATGCATTCTTTTGCTATTTTTAAAAAGATACCTTTAAAAATAATTTAAACAGCAGTGGATGTACCTGCAATTCAGGGGTTGTTGCAGCAAGGGGATAATATAATGGATGTTTATAGAGCATCGCCGTCCGCCGCTGAGGCTGAGTTCATGGTCACTGTCGTTGGGCTTATTACCTCCTGTAAAGAGGATGAGGCCACAGCCAAGCTGGGGAGATCTGAACAACTTGGATGTATTTCTGACAGCCCTGTCCAAGCCATTGGCAGGCACTCTTTTCAACTTTCTTCTCTTTTAAGGCAAGTTTTTTAAGTTCATTGAGTCTTAATTTCCTCATCTGAAAGTTGGGGGTATTGATATCCACCCTATATCTCCGTGGTGAATTAAATGGTATCATGTATGTCAAATACTTAGCACGGGTCTGGATACATGCCAAGCACTAGTCACAGGCAGTTATCATGACCAGCCACACCCCCAATCTCAATTTGCAAAGCAGTGTCACTCTGGATGACAAGCGATACCTTGAAGAGGAATATAGTTTCCTTTTCTCTCTCCCTCTCTTCTTCCCATCTGTTTCCTTCCTGTTTACCTACCTATATATCATTCCTTTCTGATTTTTATTTTTAATAAATTACACCAAAGAGAAATCCAATTCACAAACAATAGAAATGCAATCTCATCATCCAGAAAAAACATAGGCAAATATGCCAATGCTAAATCTGAATTGTCCTTACTGAGCCTAAAATTCCTTGCACTCAAAACAGAAATGGACATATTATATTCAATTGGTGCTCATTCACTGAAAGAAAGGAGCATGCCAGTTCTTTAAAGGAGATTTTCACTCCATGCACTGATTTCTAAAAGAAAATTCTCTATCGGGGTGAAGAACATTGTGAGTGATTAACTGCACAGTGTTAATAATAATCACTTTTAATTTATCAATCCATTCAATAACTATTTAAATACCAGATAGGAGAGTGAACTCTGGATATACAAATGGGGGAAAATAGCAACAGATAAGATCCCTGCCCTCATGGAGCATACAATCCAGAGAGGAGGCTAATTAAGTTATGTCTGTGTCTACATATATTAAAATCTATATAAAACACAGATGGAGATAACCCACTATGAAGGAAAAGAATAGTGTGCCCTAGAGAAAGAAAGAGAACATAATTTAAATTATGAGAGAGCAGAGAAAGCTCTTTCAGGAAGGGATATTTGAGCCCTCTTCTGCCTCAGGGCCTTTGCACTTTCTGTTCCTTCTCCCTGGAATACTTCTCCCAGACTTTTCTGCAAGACTCCTCTACCCTTCTACATTCCCCTCAGTTCTCTGTTCAAATGGCTCCTTGTCATGGAGCCCTTCCTGACTGATCCTACATCACAGTATCTCTTTACCCGACTCTGTTTCTTGGAACTCCACCAGTAGCTGGCAGATGATAGGTTTATTTACTAATGACCTGTCTTTCCCTCCCATCCCTACCCCACACGTGCCAGCACCATGAGAGCAGGGACTAGGTGTGTTTTGTTCACTGCTGTAGCCCCAACACCTGGACAGTCCCTAGGGCGATGAATATTCGTGGAGTGAGGAGGGGTGACAAGGAGAGAGACCTGCAAGTGTGAAGAGGGTGGGGCACTGAGTGGTCCATTGGGGGTGGGAGGGCACGAAGGCAAGTGGGTGACTGGAGCTACATAAATGACATTCGACATAAATAAGACACCTCCAGGAAGTCACCGTTAGACCATTATAGCATGTTTGGAAATAGAAGGACAAATACAGTGTCATTGAATCCAGACTGAAGGGAATGATAAAGGTGGCCAAATAGGTAAGAATAATGAACATTCTCCCATTTTTTATCCTTACAGCCATGAGGGAACCTGCCTTTGTCTATTCTGTGTAGGGACAATTCAAATGTGTACCTCATTTAATCCTCTGCAAAGCTCTGTGAAGTAGGCTTATTTTTCCATTTTAGGGTGGGGGAAACTAAGCCACACTGAGTTTAAGTGCCCGGTCCCAGGTCACCCAGTCAGTGAGTGAGGAAGCCAGGTGGTCCATTTAATGTGGGTGGAGTCCATGCCATCTCCCTGGGGGGGCTAATGGATGGGCCAGTCGTCTATCCTCAGAAAGATGGCACTAAGAAAAAGGTCAGGGAGGAAAAGCTAAAGTCAGCATGGCCATTAGATGAAGGGTCTTGGAAAATGAGATGCTCTCCTGATTTCAGCCTTTCTCAAATATCCAGAGGAAGGTCAGACCAGACCAAAACTCCGGGCCACATCTAAACATGATGCATTGATTCAGGGTCCTCTCACCTGCAAGAGACACAAGTGTTACCATTCATCATTGGCATAACTGTCTGATGGCAACTCAGCGATGCATTTACTATGAGGAAGAGAAGTTTGAGCAGTGTCACTGTATTACAGTTATGCGTGGACTCCCATGCCCTATATATCAGCTCTTTAACATCAATCTCTTAAATCATGATCTCTTAAATCTACAATGTCCTCCTCCCTCATCCCTGTAAGATGGGGACAGAGGAATGTCACCGGTCTACTTAGGGTCCCCTGCCTGTGACCCTAAATGTGTTCCCATCAGAGCCTCAGGGACACTGAGGTATGGCAAGAAGTGTAACCTGCCAGGAAACATGAAACCTGACTTCTGGATCTGAACCCTTCAGGTACTAGTTATTTAGTCTCTCAATAGAGGAAAAGGGTAGACCATCAACTGTCCTGAAAGTTCTTACTTATGTCAGGCATTGTGGTAAGGATTTTGTATGCATGATCTATTTAATTCTCACAAAAACCTTGTAAGCCTTCCACCATCCTTGAAATTGGGTTGTTGATGTGACTCTCACAGGAGACTCAAAGCCTATTAGAAACTGCAAAGCAAAGGAATACAAGATGTTGCGGATTTTTTAATCACTTTTTCTCAGAAAGGTCTGAACATCTCTCATGGTATATTTTACCTATAATCCTGGTCCCTGGGCATGGCTGGCTTTCCCACCAAGCCTAGTCTTCCTCAGAAGGTTCCTCAAAGCCCCACCAGGCACCTGAGGGGTGCACGGTGCTATCAGCCACTAGAATTGGACTAGAGTGTCAAAGCCCTTTCCTGGAGAAAGAACTTAAAATAATCTGATGGTAAATAAAAAGCATCAACTTTGCTGGTGAAAGAGATGAGTTAGCAATCAAGAGGGTGCAAAGTAATTGGGAGGGGGCCAAAAAGCAGGAGATAAGAAGCTTTAAGATAAGAACTTTAAAGCAAGAGACTCAAAGCAGATACAAATCTCCACAACATGGGATTTGCCTGGATTTGGGTTTCAATTTAGAGGGAAGCTAGGCCACTTTTGTTGTGTGAATCTATACTGTTTGCTATAAAGCTGGCTTAATCTAATCTAATCTGTTAAATAAAATACTTGTTTAGGTTATCAAATAGCAAATAGAACTGGAAAATATGTTGGTCTGGGAAGTTATTTATTTATTTATGCTTACATACATACACATTTATTTACCAGCAACAAAAATTTCAGGTTAAAGAAATTAACCTGAAAGAGACACGGAAAAAAAAAAAAAAGAAAAGAGCTCTTTTTTCCAAGTCTCCAGAAGAGTTTGTCTGACTTGAAAAATAAATATTATGATCATGACCAAAAAATATTATAAACTATTGACAAATCTACTTAGACAAAGAAAGCCACTAGCCCGACATGCAAACATAAGGGGACCAGATGGCAAAGGGATAAATGAAACGAAAGATAAACTGTTGAGTTGGAAAATAATCTCATTAAAATATAAATGACCATGCTTTGGTAAGGGAGAGCAGAGATAGTGGTCCTGATTTGGAACCTTCCCAAGAACTCTCAGCCTGCAGTTTATGGGGATAAGATCTGGAGTCCATGCCAGACATCCGACCACCCACCCACTGTGAACTCCCCAACTGGCGGGCTGGTGGGCGTAAAATGAGACAGGAATGTGAAAGACTCCTGGAAAAGTGCTGTGGAAATTTAAGAATGCAAGGGAAACCCTAGACTCCGGGCGCTGCCCTTCAGGCCCCTGTGGGGATAGACGTTCCTTCTGGGACCTGTGGCTGGGTCACTTATTTATCTTTCTAATAACCTAGACTTGGAAAGCTATGGCCCTCTGTGCTCTCCGCATTCGCACACTGTCCTTCCGTGGCCCAGCCTTCCCCAGCTCTAACTGCCTGTGCTAGTCTGCCTGGGCCGCCATCACAAAGTGTGTCTCTTAAACAACAGAAATGTATTTTCTCACGGTTCTGGGGGCTGGAAGTCCAAGATCAAGGTGTCAGCATGTTTGGTTTCTTCTGAGGCCTCTCTCCTTGGTTTGCAGATGGCTGCCTTCTTGATGTATTCCTCTGGATGCATTCTGGGGTCTATTCATATATCCAAATTTCCTCTTCTTATAAAGTCAGATTAGATTAGAGCTAACCCTTATGACCTCGTTCTAACTTCATCACTCCTTTTATGACTCTGTCTCCAAATACAGTCACATTCTGG